GTTTTTTAGATTCTTTTATAGTTTAGTTGTTTTCTTATATGTTTCTTTTTTTACTTTTCTCATTTTGTTTTACTTTTACTCTTTTTTTTTTACTTCTTTATGAGAAAATATTATCAGATTGGCAATACTTTATTATAGAGATTTTAACAAGGTTGGTAAATCCCATCTGTTGATATTTGGAAATTATATTCTTAGTAAGTTAAAGATTCTAGAAAAAAAAAAATTGTTATTTAGACGGTTTATTTCTGAGTCATATTCTAGTATAAAATTCTTGGCTTTGGCTATAGTTTTATTATAATAATGAGACAGATCAAGAGAATCTTTATTTGGACAAGAATATAATAGTTTAGTGATTTGCATATAGGCCTAGCTAGCTGAGAGCATTTTTGTAATCTATTTTTGATTTATAAAATAAAGGTAAGATCGCTAAAGTAAAAAAAAATAATTATTCTATATTTCTATATAATTATATAATAGAGTTTTATTACTTATAATCACTACCTTAATCCAAGTTTCTAGCAATGCAAGTTATTTCTCTGCCAATGCTTGTTATTTTTTTAGATTTTTAGAGAAATAACAAATATTAATACAGAAATAGCTTGTATTGTTAGAAACTCTATTTTCTATTAATTAAAGTAGTAATTATAGTCATAAAAACTCTATTATGTATTATATAAAGACAAAGAATAATACTTTTGTTCTCACAATTAGAGAAATAATCTGGTAGATCTCTGGCTTGCTATGGACCCTTTGGGCTTCTAGAAAACTGAGAATATACCTCTTATTCCCACTATTGCAATAAATAAATAGTACTATATTTCTATATTACAAATAGTATATACAAACTCTTAACATAAATCTTATTGATTTTTAGACAATAATTACATTTTATGAATCTACCAGATGGCTATGAATTTTTCAGATCATGTAATAAGAACAAAACATTCTAAAATTTGTTAATTTTAGAGTTAGTATCATATTTAGAATTTGAAGATAAGAAATATTTAATAAAATTAGTCAAAAAAACCTTTTAATTAGAGTATAAAAAGTAAATTCTTATATAAATTCTTGAGATAAAGGATGTTTTTTGTCAAAATGAATGTTTGTTTTGGACTTTTCTGATCAAGTTATGTTATACTTAATTACAATTTTCCATTAGATAAATTTGTTATTGACCATTATGTGATTCAAAAAATTCGTACCTGCTTTAGTGGATTCACATTTTATCTAAAGTCTTTCACAAACATTTACGTTTAAGATTAGTAAATACCAATATAGTTCTAGAAATAATGTCTATAATATTATATTTATTTAGAAAATTGAAAATAATGCCAATGAATCAAAAATAATAAAAGAAACAATATGTATTACAGAAGAATTACAGAATAATGTATCTAAATTTCATTTACATAGAATACAAGCTAATTTCATATATACTTGTAATTTACTATTGTCCAAAATTAAACTGGCATTATTGAGAACTATTTACTATATATTAACTGGTAATATGCTAATTGCAAAGTTTACTAATATAAAAAAGTAGATGATCGTGTAAAACTTGTATTAAAACTTGGTGACCCTGATATTACAGTTGATCTTCGAAAACACAATAAAGAAAAACTAAAGAGATATGATAAGTTTTAGAAGATGGTAGTTTGTTTTTTCACAAGTAAAGCTATTAATCTAATAACTACTGTTAATAAAAGATACTATGATCAAATTACATACCTTGCAGTTGCAATTTTAGTAAATAATCTTCTTTAGCAAATTAAATATAAATATCTATTTAATATGCCAATTCCTAGTACTCAATGACTCAGTTTATAGTTCTGGCTAAAACTTAAATAGTATATAATATACAAGTCATTTATCTCTCAAATTTATAGTTCAATTATAACAATTATATGCTAGTCATCCAGATGCTTATTATGTGTCTGCTCTATTTTGCTATAAAAAGAAATTTGCAGTTAAATTTCATAATATCACAATATTTGCTTTTTTAGATAATAAACACCAATGCAAGATCGAAGAATCTGAATATGCTATAGCAACAATCAAAAGAAGAAAACAAGTAATAGTAAAAAAGAACATGATGTTTATAGTAAGTAACCATAATTTTACAAAGACAAGAATAGTGTTTAGTATGACAATACTTTGTAGTATTCTTGAAACAATAGATAGCAATTTTTATATTAGAGAAGTAAATATTGGATTAAAAGATCTAATCTTTTAACTTTCTTCTCTATTATATCATATAACAGAGCTTCATAATATTTTACTATTACAAAAAATAACTAACTTTATCTTATGCTTTTATACAGATAATAGCCCTGACCACTGATATATATATATCGTGCCTCAGATTAAAACTTGCATTAGATTAAAACTGGCCTAAATTAGAGTTAGGGTTAGGGTAAGTATTAGGATTTAGCTAGGCTGATTTTGCAGATCATTTTAATGCTGGCCTAATGGTTTTAATCTGACGCAAGTATCAATCTGAGGCACAACATATATATACGAGTTTAGTTATCTTATATCTATCTGTTTTTAGCATTTGATCTTAATTATTTCGTAGCAGTGAGGATTCTGCCTATGTATTCCTAGAAAAATCTTGTTAAACGTGTAATGTTAATACTCAACCTTAAATTACAAAGTATTGGGCTAATGCAAGCAGAAATAGATAAAAAATATAAGAAAATTAAAAAAGCTAATTTAATAAAAGAAATTTAAAAAATCACTAAATCTAATCTCACCTTAAAGGATGAACTCATAAAAAGTATTCAGAAACCGATTTATCTTGTCTGTAAAGTATTTGAATAGTAATCTTTAAAAAACATCTTATTTAAAATATTTGTTGCTATAACTGATGAAGATATTTAACATATTTGTTGCTACAACTGATGAGGATATTTAACAATTTTAGGAAAATATCTATTTAGTTGATAATTCTATTAGTAATTATAAAATAAAAAATCTAAACTAACAGATAAGTATATATTAATATGCAGTTATTTTCTGTCTCAGTATGATTGCATGATAGAGATTTTCATATTATTAATCACAATTTTTATCACAAATTTTCTTTTTTTTCTTATTTGTTATCACCCACAGAGAAATAACAAATAAAAAAAAGATCAAAAATTTGCAATAAAAGTTGTAATTAATAAAATGTAAATTCCTGTTATATAATTATAATAAGACAAGAAATAACTTATTTATTTTACTATTCTAGAAAAATATTTCATTATTCTCACCATCCTGGGAAATAAATAGTACTTAAACAAAAGTCATAAATCAATAATATTATTTTTCATAGCTATGCTTAAAAGAATTTTTTGATCACTGTTGTATTGTAAGACATTATTTTTTTACAATAAAGAAATGTAATAAAAATACTTGTCTGATTTGCCAATTTTTTTAATATCTATGTGAGATCTTTAATCAATTTCATTGCCTCTCTAATCTAATTTCTAGTACAGATTTACACTATAAACTTTTTGAAGAGTTTTATGATACAATTACAACAGAAAAATACAGATCTTTGTATTAAGAACAAACACCTATTACTAAGCCTAAACAAAAAAAAAGTAAAAGAAAAAAGTGAAAAGTAAATCATTCAATACCTTTCTGCCCTCTTCAATACATGCTAAAAATGTTAGAATTACCGTTATCTATATTGAATATAACAAATTATGACTCCTATTTAGTGCAAAAAGATTAAAAGATAAGAACTATCAGATACTTGTTCAATTTCTAAATACTATTTTGTATACATGTAAAACTATATTCAATAATGCTTGCGAATTATCAATAACTACACCAACTAGGCCAAATTATGAAGTGAATGAATCTTTTGATAAATGTAGCAATAGTAAATATAATAAAAGTTTAATTACCAGTTCTAGTTATTCTTATAATAAGAATGATAAAAATAATGAGAATAATAAGAATGATAAGAATGATAAGAATGATGAGAATAATGAGAATAATGAGAATAATGAAAACTATGAGAATGATATTAGTACACAAAATAAACAAAGTGATTAAGATAATTATAGGATTAATAATAATTTTTATTATGAAAAACAAGATAATAAGAATATGATAAACAAAATTAATAATTCTATCTGAGAAATTTTTAAGTATATCTTTGTTAATAACTCTTGGATCTGTGATTTCTCAATTGAAAAACCATATTATTCTGCAAAAATCTACTCGGATATTTGTTATTTCTGCAAAAGCTTTGAAATTAAGCTATCTAATCAAAGAATATATGACTGGTCTGCAGGAATTATGATAATATGAATAAACTAACTAAGTACTATAGAAAGCAATCTTTTAGTAAAATCAAAAAAATATATGATTAAAGCTGTTCTGTTAAAGTTTTAGTAGATATATTTAAATTTCTTAAAAAATTGCTCTTAGTGTTTATAAATATAATATTCAGAAATAAAGTTAAATTTAATTTTATTAATATATACTTGCAGTACTAGTCTATTGATTATTACTACTTTTTAGTATTGTTAGCAGTATAGATCTTGATATAACATATTAGATTGCAAGTGATTTGAATGCTTAGTATATTCTGATATAGATGAGTTAGCTTGTTCAGAATCTATTTAATTGAAAATTTTTGCAAAATAAATTAATATTTTTAAAATTTTAACCTGTTATATAATTTGCTATAAATTATTACTTGATCTATTGTTTTATTGTTATACAAGAGAACTATAAAAAATTGTTGCAGATGTACCAATCAGATCTTTTCTAATAGTGATTTGTTTACTATATAGAATTAAAATTGAATATTGAATATTCTAAGTCAATTAGTAGTCAACTCAAAACTATCTGCTATACAAATTATATATGATTAATGCATATTGTTAGATAGCTGTTATTATATAATATTTTTGATGATCTCCTATTGGTCATCATATATATATAATTTAAATATTGTTATTTAATTCTTTTAATCTGACCAGGCTATATTATATACTGTATATAGATAATTTTAAAATTTCTAATTTAGTTTTTGTAACCTGGCTAGATTATAAGAACCAAAAAATTAACTTTATATGACCTTATCTTTTTTTTAATAATTTTTTTATTATATAAACCAGTATAGTATATAATAAATATATAATATACAAATAGATGCTACTCTACTTTGTAAAATCTATATTATACTTGTATTAATAAAAAATCACTTGATTTATTTAACAAGAACTTATGCATAAATTTTGCAAGAAAGACTTAGAGAAATGCTATTTATCAGCTAATTTTTTAGGGAATAGAGGGTAAAAAAACGTTAAAATTATATATAAAAACCTGATATTTTTATATATTAAAAAGGATAAAAAGAATAAGCTCTTGATAAAAAAAATCAGATGATAAATAGGTTTGCTTTTAGTATAGCTTATCTAAGTAGCTCATATTTATCTGATTTGAAATCTTTAATTTACTAAAAATTTAAACTCTAGAAGTTTATAGTAAGTGTTTACTAACTTTGTTAGAATTACTGCTTTATATAAAATATTACTAATTTAAAAAATATTCTCTAATAAAAAAATTCGAAGAGCAAAGTAGGCAAACCCATCCTTTTTGATTCACGGGGTCCATTTTTTTTGATTCATCAGATGATCGACAAAAAAGGGCCCATTTT